GGGAGGGGAAGGGGGAGGGGAAGGGGGAGGGGAAGGGGAAGGGAGGGGAAGGGAAGGAAAGGAAAGGAAAGGAAAGACTGACCAAAGCAATGAATTGTGAGTTGAACAATCAATTAATGAACATACTTTAAAAAAAAACAAAAAACCTTTCCTGTTTTCCAGAGGAGTTAATAATACATTTTTGTTTTATTCTGGTACTTTCCATACACTACAGAGTAAACAGAATCAACACAAGAAACCACAGCCCCGACTGCACACACCTCTATGTTCTATTTAGGTCCACACATCCCCCAGGAATAAAAAGCCCACGGTTACTATTTACACACCAATGGCACAAGGATGAAAGCAAATGAATAACCAAACTGTGAGCATCTTGTTTCTAGTTATGTCTACAATCATCGCAGCCCTGAGTGACCTTCCAAAGGCCTCAGAACTGCTCCAGCAATTAATTCATCAAATTATTTAATTACTAAGCATGGCCTACTGATTCACGTAATATGAAGGTTGAATACTTTTTACAATTTAATGTTTAATCTGTTTGTTGTTCCCTACTAGATTATTTTAGTTTTAAGCTATATTTTAAGAGTCCAGATAAATTGAGAATATAATCATTAAAAAAACCTAACAATATCAAAATCTCTAAAATAACCCTCTGCCCTGTACCCTCGAGTCTTGACCCCTTCTCTAGGAGAGCTCACAATGTTTTAGTGTACCACACAGATAAGGTTTTGTTTAGAGTTAGAAGATAGAACTGAGAGTTTCATATAACATTCAATACCCGCCACCTTTGGTACTGGGAATTGAACCAGGTAGGTCTTTATACTGAGCTACATCCTCAGCCCTTTTCTATTTTTCATTTGGAGGCAGGGTCTTGATAAGTTGCCTGGGCTTTGCTAACACTTGCTCTTTTCACTCAACATTCCAGGACTCCTTCTTCCATGTCACTACCAGGGAAACAATCTGTGTTTTGATGAAGTATCCCATAGTATGGTCATACTGCCATGTTGTCATTTCATTTTTTGGATTAGGAGATATATATATATATATATATATGTCACAGAATTCCAAGGTATAAACATTTCCCCAATGACAGCCACTCGTCTCTCGTATTGGGTACTATTAACATTGCAGAGAAGACCCTCACACCCATCTCTGTGTATTTGGTGTACAGTCTTGTGCAGACAGTTTAAGAGGAATTCTGTGTTTTGTGCCCGTGGGAAGCTGAGAGTACAAGACTCCTCCTCCTGCTGTCATAGTGGGCTGGATAGTTTTCAGGCGGCACTGTATAGCCATTCTTGCTATGATCTCTTCTATCTGGCCTGCAAAAGCAAGCTTCTGCAACCTCATGCAGGCCCACCCTGCAGCCACGTGCTGCTGAAGAGGCAGGGACTCTGGCTGTATTTAATACAATTTCTCATGGGCCACACTTCTGCAAGCTATGCAGTGAACATGCTAACATTTTTTATTAGTTTCAATATTGATCCTTTTACATAAGTAGTGATTAAGTATTTTAATAACCTTAAAATGCATGGATTAAATGGCACACTTAACTGACTCGGATGACAGCTATGTAATTCAACTTTTTTAATTGAATTTTTCCACCCTGGCTGAAGCATAATAAAAATGAAAATTTCCTGTCTTCTGAGAACAGGAGGAGGTCTCCACTCGTGTAGGTGAATAGCATTTTCAGACATCCGAGCCATCTTTCTGCTCAAGAACTAATGACACTCACTCATGCTTACCCTTGTGGCAAGAGGCAGGGAACATCTGGAGTCACTGAGTTGCTTGCGCTGGAGGGGACAGGTCAAGAGAAACCACCTTGCTCTACCTCCAACAGCTCACGTTAGGTTTACCCCAGCAGAAATTCAACATTAGCCCAAATCAATCTTGAGTTTTCAGCAACCACTTATTAGTCTTAAGAATCTATCAAGATGTCCTAAAAGCACTAACCTTTAAAAAGGTGAGTACTCTGAGGCCATAACTCACTCCAGACTCTATAGTTTATTTAGGCCTCCTGTCTACAATCCATTAGCCAAATGAAAAATGGGGGCTTGTGCCTGACCTAAGTGACCAGCCCATCAGCATTCAGAGGACAGTGGCCCAAACATTCTTCACACTGCTGACCTTTACCACGGAAAGCCAAAGCTTTCTCTGGTTGGACACTTTTTCTCCTATTTAACCACATCATGTTCAAAAGCAAGTTTTAACATTCCTTTTAGCAACAGAACTTGTGATAGAAGACATTTTGCCATGCCATGCAACTTACTCTGCAAAACTACTAACATTTTCATAAAGTCATTAAATATGAAGGCATCCCAGGGACTGTGAAGGGACAAGCGATCCAGTGACACAAATCAGAACATCGACCTTAGGTAGCTCCCGGTGCAGGAGGGTTACAGACATGTGGACAGGCAATTACCATAGAGTGCTCTGAATGCTTCGGTAGGGAAGTCCCCAAATGCAGGCTCAAAGGGAAGGCCTTCAAGAGGAAATAAAGTATGGGTGATGAAGAAACATGACGGGACAGAGCGACAGAGCCAGGGTCTCAGAATAGCCAGTGTGGGCTCAGAGTGGGGATGGGAAGTGGGGGAAAAGTACATGCTAACATCTGGAGTGCTGAGCTTAGCTCAGAATGGGAAAAACCAAGCTGTATTCTACATGGGTGAAGGACAGGAAAATTCTAGACAATGAAGAGGAGCCCAGGACTTGTTTGATGGTGCTGCTATGGCCTTGGTAGCTCTTTAACCTTTTTGTTTTATTATGAATCATTTATATATATGACATTAGCTGCAGAGCCTCACTCCATAAAAATGACCCTGTATAGTTTTATTTACAACTTCAGGGATTCTGAGTCCCAGCACAGCATAGCAATACCTCTGCTTAAAAGTGAGTTTGGCCAGGGATGGTGATATGAGCCTGCAGTCCCAGTTGCTAGGGAGACTGAGGAAGAGGATCACTAGAGCTCAAGAGTGCAGGACCAAACTGGGCAAAGCAGCCAGGCCCTGTCTTTAAAAAAAAAAAAAAGTTAGGGCTGGAGTAGCACTGCACCTGGCTCGCAAGGGCAAGGTGCTGAGTTCACTCCCTGGTACCAATCAATCAGGTCAGACTGATTCAAGCTCATTTGGCAGATGAGGAAACTCTGAGGCCCGTTCTGACTTACAAAAGCTAATTTGAGAAACTAAGACAAAACCTAAGTGTCCCTTTCTCGGGAGCACTCTTCCACATCACAGTCCTGTCCCATGACTCTCAGGAGCATCTCTGTGGAAGTGTCTGCTTCACCTTTACAGTACCGAGTCCCACCAGGCTCAATGCTTACGCCCACCTCAAGAAAACCTGGAACCCAGATGGTGCGAATGGGGAGATTCCGAGATGCGGGACAAAGCTAGGGCTGTTTGTACATTCGTCTCTCAAGCAAAGCATGTAAGGCCATCCTCACCTGTTCCCTGCCACATCTAGGACATGAAGTTCTGTCGCCTGTGACACCTCAGCAGGTATCCAAGTCAGTCTGTTGTTGCGCACGCAGAACACAGTGAGGCTGCAGCACCCGCCAATCTACAGTAGGACAAAAAAGCACCTTTATTCTATTGTGGGAAGGGACACAGGGAAGGCAGAGTAACCTGCTTACCAAAAAGCATGAAAAAGACATATGAAGACATACCACATAATTGTACGTATCACCTATGGAACAAATGCAATTAATTTAAATCATACAAAATGCTAAACATACATGGTCTATGTTAAATCAAGAAAATAAACCACACAGTCAAATATTTCAATCGAAAAGGAAGTTACTTTCTACTGCTGATATCTCATGCAAATGTATCTGTTAAATATGTCAACCAAACTACACAAGTCTAGACAGATACTACGCAGTAATATGAAAGCATTGAAATTCTAGTTTCAAAAGTTAGCCCAGAGATGATACCGATACACATAAATACACATACACACACACACACACACACACACACACACACAGATTCACTCCCTCACACTTAAAGAACTACCCAACTTTCTTAATTTCAGTGTGCTTGGGGTCCAGTTCAAAAAGGGCAACAAGAATTTGACAGACTACACATTAACTTCTACCACACATCTTTTAATAGTTTTTGGTCATTTACAAATGCATCTGGTAAAATAAGGAAGATCAGACTGATTCAAGCTCATTCATTATACTCCTTGATGAATGCAAAGCCAATAATATATTAGCAAAAGGTAAAACTGGTAAATATACACATTAATGTGCTGAGTTATGATCTGCAAGCAAAGTATATAAATCAATAAACTGCATCCACATCAATTTCTATATCTTTATTTTTAAGTAAGCAAGTCAAAGGCAAATTGAACTTTGTATAAGTCTGGTCTTCAAAAAGCAGAATGAACAGAATTCAATGATTCTCTTAAACAAACAGGCTGTGGGCTCTGCAGGCAGAGAAGCTGAACCAAGGGAGTGGAAAAACAACTTGATCCAGACACAGCCTTGCTCAGGACTCCCTGAAGTACCGCATTCTTCTCGTGCTCACTATCCAGGTAAGAGCAATCGCTACAACAGACTCATGAAGGGACCTATTGATGTGTCTCTGAAACACGGAAAAACACTACTTCAGGGCCTTCCGCTGGAGGAAGACCAAGAGACTTGACTCCTTAAAGATATCCAAATATATCTTCTGCCCTTTTCTATTTATACATGTGTTTACTAAGTGTATCAAATACTCAAAAGAGCAGAATGTATATTTATAAAATTCTATACAGTTACCTTCATGCACAATCTTTTCATTTCCTCCCTTAAGAGTTAATATAAAGATCCTGAAATAATATATTTAGTCATGGTATTTAACCATAATGGATGCCAAATAAAAATAAACAAACAGTGGAGCAACATTTATCACTAGTCATATGGGAAGCATCCAGATACATAGAGAGGTTATCAGGCTGTCTTGTTTATTTCTCACTCTTCACATATCGACATTTCCCATCCAAGTAAAACTGGTTTTATTCACAATACTCCAAAGTACATCTTGTATTTTTTATTCCATTGTTTCTTATAGAAAATGCTTTTCTTGTTTGTATCTTTGGGGGGCAGGTACAGGGGATCAAACTCGGGTCCTTGCGCTTGCACAGCAGGCGGCGAAACCACTGAGCTAAATCCCTGGACCCTGTTTGTATCTTTTTAATTCTTACCAATAATCCAAAATTAGGTAAATGTCCTCCAATTCCTCCACAAACTCTCCCTAGAACCCTCTAGCCTAGAATATGATAAACTGCACTCCACATTTTTTTCATAATTACGGTCTAACATTCTGCCAGGACAAAATGCCTCCTGAAGATTCATCATCTGATTCAGTTACTATTTAATTTACACAAGTTCACATATAATCAGGGAGCTTGACAAGGGCAACCCCAAGCCTATCCACCCACCATGTCTAGCCTATACACCTACCAAACCTTTCTTTTAGGTATGCCTACTTGCTTGTGAAAAGCTGCTACTTAAAAATTGTCTGCTTCTGTGTAGTAATGGACCCAACACAAGCTTTCTTTGTGCTAGGAGGAATCACAACTGCAGGCTCTCTTGTGCTTTCTAAATACGGAGCCCTGGTGCACCAGCCTAGAAGACACGTGCAACCAGACCTCCCTCCACTGAGGAAGGGACTCACCAGATTTACTTAGATGCCCGAGGCTATTGCAGTAGGAAAGGGAAGAAAACCTTGATCCTTGTGAGAACTGACACTACCAGATTCCCTGGATAAATTCAGAGTCCTGACCAAGATCTACTCACGGGAAGGGACCCTCAGGTTCTGTGAGGCACCCATCCCCACATGTCTAGCTGGAGGGGCAACCGTGTGGTGTCTGTGTGCAGCCTAGGACTGTGTGCCCAGGGGAGGCCTTCCAGATCAGCACCCAGGTGCCAATCTTGCTAGGTCTGAAGAGAGAGGCTTTTCTGCACCCAAAGGAGGGATAACAGCCTATGTCAGCTGCTCATATGATCATCCCACAGACAGTGGACTCCTGGAAGTAGACAGTGCTGAGGCAGCCTGGGACTGTGGGCTGGGCGTCATGTCTTACAGCTATGCACTGTCCCGGTCATCTGTGAGAACTGAGGCCCTATGGTTGTACTATGCGAAAACTTTCAGATGTAGCATGTACATGTATTATGTATCAGGTAATAAAAAGTAATTCACTAATTGAAGTGTGTCAAGCAGCTCTACAAGTTCAGGACAAGTTAACATTCCTTAAGAATTTGGGGGAAACAGCATAAATTTCCAGTGGAGTATGTGAGCTTTCCTTTTCCTTTCCCACTCTATCTCACACCCACTTAGGATGTTAAGGGGTGGAAAGCAATTATGTTCAAGAGCCTCTCAGGCCCTTGGGGATGTCAAAGCAGGCCGTGTGACCTCCTGATCTCTATTGTCTATGGTGTCTGGAAACAATGCCAACAAAGAGCACATGTTGTTGCAGAGTGTGCTAGGGATGCCTTAATCACCTTAAAAGCACACGCTGTCCCAGGCAAACATTCACACAAACAGAGCTCTCTTTCCAATTCAGCCAGGAAGGGATGGCACGAACCTCTGGTTTCTAGAAAAGATTATTAAGCAGTTAAAACCATAACTCAAAAGATAGAGTCTGTTATAGACATCAGAGGGGGGCGTGGTGCAGTGGAGGGGGCAGATGCTTTGAGAGCACACAGACACAGTTAGAATTTAGGCTCAGTCACATGTTCTGTGGGTTTGGGTATGTTATTTTAACCAAAAGCAACAATACAAACTAAATTAAATAAAACCACATATATAATTTAGTTCCTATCATAGAACCAAGCCTATTGCTGCTGCCAAATAAATGTGGTAGGAACTGTTTTCCCAAGAAGTGAAAGCCCTGGCTCCAAAGGGTGAGTTCCATCAATACCAGGTACCTACTCTGAGGTTAGAACCATACGGATGCTGGCTGTCTCTTTGCTGAGCTCACCTGGATGTCTTAAAAACCTGTCTCAGATAACGTATTCCAGAAACATCAGTATGAGTGTGAGCGAAGAACTGCCATGAGCTGAGTATTAGATAGCACCTATCATTTATATGTGTTTTTGCTTTGTCTTCTGGGTTCACCAGGCAGAATTGAAGTTTTTTTGTGGTCATCGGGATAAAATGTCCATATCACTTAGAAATTCTGGGAAGGAGAACTGTTTAAATAACTTATTACCAGTTAGAAGTTGATATTTTTAAGCTTTCCTTAAACCACATAATAGCACCTTCTGAGAATACAAGGGCTTGGAGTTGGATTCCCTGAGAACTACAGAATGTAGCTGAGAATTCTTGGTTAGCTATTTTGTGTCTCTGTTAATTAAGAATGATGTTCTACTTAACTATTTGACACTGAGCTAATCTATCTCAAGGAGGCAGGACCTGCAGACCACTGAGCGAAACTTCACACAGATAACTTTCACTAAGCATTAACAGCCTGCAGGTTACTGTACCATCTGTACCATGGAGGAAGGAGAAATCAGACAGAGTCAAAGACTCAAAGAGAAAGCCTGTATTAGTCACAGGCTTATACAGGCTTATGTATTGTTAGCTTATATTCACTTTATGAATGCCTGCCCTACGTGTAAAAGAATTTTCATTTGTACTCAGTATCTTTTTTTCAGTATTTGTAACAGATTTGAACCCACATGTCATTGGCAAAAGATGAACACTTACAAAAAGCAAAATCTGGCCAAAAGACAAGTTGGAGAGAAATAACATGATGTATAATATTAGAATCCCATCATCATCTGTGGTATATTACCCAAATGTTCCCTACTTCATAAATATTTTAGAAATCATGTGGTTTTAAAATTCCCTGATTTACTGGGCCAGTGACATCAAAATATCCACTAATAGCTATGGTATTCTCTTCTCTGATTATTATAAAGTAACTTATGCCAGCTGGAAAATAAAAACCATACATACATAGGAAAGCACAGTGAAAGGAAGATAACTCAAATCCTACCACACAGAGATAATCGGCATTTACAACCTGAGATACAATCTTCCAGCAGTACTGTCACTCATTGGTGAGAACATATACACACAGTAACAAAGTTAGGACCAACACTATGATCTGTAGCATATATGCCGTCAAGAACATTTTCTCATGTCACTGGTTCTAAAAGGGTTCTTACTGTGATGCATCCTTCACAGATCATTTAACAAACTGCATGTTTGATGTTGCTGGTTAGTTCTGCTGCTGCTTTGTGGTGTGATCTTAGGCAAGTTACTTAGTTCAAAAACTGCTGGCTATAATAACAATTTACAAATACCTCATAGAACTACTGTGAAAATTAGACAAGAATGCACAAGCACTTGATATAGAGCCATTCACATGTCAACTGCCTAAGCACACATGTGGCACATGCCTGTCCCATGTTTTCTGCCTCTCCACATGCTTGGTACAGGGCCTGGAATATGTTAGCTGCTCTTCTATAAAATGTGAGAAACAATGTTTTCTTAGGTTCCTAGAATTGTAAAAAGGGTATATTTTTAAAGTTTTAAATAATGTTACCATATTCCTTTCCAGAGAAGTCCTAATAATTTATATTAATGTACTTCTCTGCATATTCAGCAATATGTGGCCTTTTTAAAAATACTAAAACTTTGATGAAGATCTCTTTCCTACCCACAGATTATCTTTACCTTCATGGAGATCAGAAATCTTTCAGGTAGATATATCCATCAACAATTCTTTTTAGTACTTATTTCTTTTTTCAAGTTTAGGGATGTATTCTCCATCTTGAAATCTTATGATCAACTGTATTTTATTCTGTTATTAGATTTCATATCATCTCTTTTACCAGTAACTAATTTTAGAATGTAATGAAACATAAAAGTATATACAGCTTGTCAGATTGAAAAAAAGCTTGAATGACTGATCCCCAAACTCCAGCTTGTCTCATCTGATTGAATATGTGTGATGTAGGGGTCATTTTCATTTTGGCTCAATGCAGACACACAAAAAGAAGGGCTGTAAACATGGATATATGCTCAATTTCTTCTAGCCAGAAATTCTTTATGACCCAGATTGTGTAAGAGTAAGATATGGCTAAGGAATATTATGAATTACTGCCTTCACTCATCATACCCATGACCACACATATACCAACTTGCTGTCTCCCCGTCAAGTTATACTATTCCACAGTCCTTCCTCCTAACTCTTTCCTGCACCGACTGTCTGAGTTTCTGAGGGGATCACCCTTTCTCAGAAGCATACATACTGAAGCAAGAAGACGAGAAATAAAAGATACAAATAGGTGGCTTGAGAAAGCAGAAGCATGCCACAGGTAGCAAATAAAGCAAATCCAGCATGTCTGCTAGAGACAGTCATGCCAACAAACCACAACTGAGTGAAGACAGATGAAGTACCTAATGATGCCTTTCAGGGTCTCTCAGTAACTTAAAATGTAATTCACAGAAAACCATTCTTTTGAGAGAAAATAATCTAAATACATCTGAAAAACACATGACAATGTAAGATTTCAGGCCATGCAGTCATTAAAAAAAATTTTAAAGTAAATGTCCAATATTTTACAATGAAAAACACACAAAGGTATCAGCCAATTTGAATCTCCATGCATTTAAGAAGCAAAATAAAAGTTAAAGATGCAACTGTGGTCTGAACAATACTTACAAGATAACAAGTTTACCTGACTTTTCTAAATTTCCAAGCAGCTAACAATTAAGAAAACAAGAGACATTCATTGATTTACAAATGTTTACCACAAACAACGTCACAAAGAACAAACAGAATTTATTACTGTGACCCACATAGTACGAATATTTTCCCCTGGATTATTTGGGAAAAACAGACGCAAGTAAATGCTGCTACAGACTAAGAAGCTGTGCCAGAAAACTGACAATACACAACACCATCAAAGTTTAAAAAAAGAAAAACAAAAAATTAGGAAGAGCCACATCACATTCCAAACCAACAGCAATTAATATAACTATGGATTTTGGCACATAAATTGAATTGGTCAGAATTTCAGTTTGTATATGCCATGTGTGCAATTTAATTGTTCAAGAGAAAGAAAAAAATTGTGGAAAGAAAAGAACACAACCAAGAAAATGCAGGACTTGATCAAACAGTATCAAACATGAAGTCAGAAACAGCACATGTGTACGTGGACACACACACACACATCACAGGGCCCAGGATGCTCACTGCATAGACTTCTCCCTGGACCATGCCGCCCAGGCCAATGCAACAGGATGTGAGGCCAGGAGACCGACGCACAGTGGCCTGCCTGCTGGGCTTGACTGCCAGTCTCAAACACTGGAACCGTTTCTGCCAGGCCACCACCTGGGACCCCAGCAGAGCTGCAGCTAGGCTCAGAGTGCTTCCTACTCCCGGGAGTTGCATGTGAGGATGGAAAGTGTGCCAGAAGACACCAGTTCCAAAACATGGACCATTCTCTGGTGTATCAGGTGACTAAACAAAAATGTACAGACTTTATAAAACTCGAGATGCCAGAATACTAATCTCAGTTTCCCAGAAAATGGACAAAATCTGATAGCTAAAATGCTTTAAAACCAGAAATATTCTTACACTATCTTCAGGTTTCTCATCATGAAAAGTTGTGCTAGTAAATTGAAACTGACACATGACACATACTGTGTATAGCCCTCCAATCAGAAACACTTAGAGTGTGAGTTTTGTTTGCTTAAAATGAAAAGAGGCCGCATGCTGAAATGCTGGTTTTCTGAAGTTTCTCTCTAGAATGTGTGCCTAGGAAAGAGAGAGGCCAAGGGAGGTCCAGAAAAGCTGGGCAGTGGTGAAACTCACTTAAAAGTACTCTCCTTAGCATCTGCCCTAAAAATATTCCTAAACTGTATTAATTTTCTAAAATGTCCAAACTAAAGGTAATTTGACCTTTATTAAATCAAGGAATTTCCCTACCTCAAGGTCATACAGATGAAAGGCTGGGCTGAATCTGAATGACCTGAGTTGCCTGTTTTTACTGCTGACTGCAAGGCTCGCCCCTGTACCCTGGTTCTACCAACTCTCTATGTGAGCCCTCAGAGTTCACTGGCCTGCAAAATGAGGAAACCATCATGACCTCAAAGCTACTCTCAGGATCCAGTGAATTAACACACTTAACCAGGGACTTGCACACACTAGTATCATGTGTGGCATTGAGAAAGTAATTCATCTTTCCTAATTCTGTGTGTGTGTTACGTGCTCAATCATTTTCTGTCTACAACCACTACTCACCAAGAGCAAAATTAATGCTCAGAGTATCAGCTGTGCTTGGTTGATTGCTTAGACTGAAACCAAAATGTTTTGATTAGCAGAATCTTCTTGTGTCCCAATTTAGCTGAGATGCAGACTTAAGTCTTCTGCTGGAGAGTTTTATTCAGATGCCAGTGCTCATATTAAAGATGTATCAGAGTACACATGTGCCACATTTATAATCAATATACCCCTGCCTCCATTCAGGAATGCTGCCCATCTCACCCAGAAGGCTGGGCACTGTGGGCAGAATACCAAGACAAGAAAAGGGGAGAGGAAGCCAGGTCGAGAAAAGAAAAAGAGGAAGCCATTCTGAGAAAAGAATGACCCTCAAATTCTGGCTGGTTGGATGGTAGCTTTGAAATTATTCCAAGAAAGATGCTAGAAAGGGTTAAAACAGAGAAACAGGAAGGAACCTGCACCTGACCAGAGATCATGTCATACAAAGAAATAAACTTGTTATCTGAGGACCAGCAAAGGGAAAGCTTCAGCAGGAGCTCACTCGATGGGGAGGGGCAAGTGGCTTATACTTAGTTCCAGGCTATACTGCTAGTGAGAAAGGGAGCATTCCTGGTTCTGTGTGAAGTAAACCTTCTTCTTCAGGAAAGCCTCAGACATCTGGCTTGGTCGCCTCCTCAGCCAGCACCCCCACCTCCCTCAGCAGAATGGAAACCCTCCAGGTCTCTACAGCTACTCTCTACAAAGGGGCTTCTTTGCTTCCTCTCCTCTTGGAGCTGGCTGCAGCCATCCCAGGAAGCCCTTGTGAAGAGTTCATTCCCTCTCATCCCAGACAGAAACCCATCCAAGGTAAATCTCTGCCCAGAGAAAGGGATCCATTAACATCCATTTTTATAATCCCAATGACTTAGGGGACAGAGTTTTATTTCACTTTAAATTCAACAGTCAAACCCAAAGTCATCCACTTCCTCTGCCAAACTTCCAATTTACCCACTTCAGTCAATAGTGTCACCATTCTCTATACAGCAAGCCCCAAATATGGACCCATCTCTTCACTTAAAATCCTATAATTCCCCTTTCCCAACTCTTAATGTTACTCATGACCATTCTTTCATATCATTCCTCCAACTAGCTTTATACTCATACCTTCAAAGTGTAAGCCTTTTAAACATTAAAGTTATCTTTGATATTGTTGATCCATATATCATTAATTCTTTGTAGTTACTGTCATGTGATTCTCTAAAAGTACATACCTCTTTTGGTAAAGACACTAATTTATTTCTGTCTGCATTCAAGTTGCTCAACTTCTTAAGTTTTCCAACGCTCTTAGGTAACGTCTGTTAAAATAACATTTATATTATTAATTTATCACATATTTTTGTCATGGGTTCTAGCAAAAGAGATATGTTCAAGGACTTAAAGAAAATTCAGCAAGAGATGCAAAGTTCTGCCTGAACATCAGATATCTGTAATGACTACCTGGGGGAAACAATTAAATATTCTGCATTTTCCTTAATGTGATTCTATGTTTGACAGACATGAAGTTAGAGGCAGAGACTAGAAGCCGGGATGCACCTAGTGAAGAGGGGGTGGATGTTCTTCACCTCCAGTAAGTGATTCGTCCCTTCCCTCACTTCAAGAGCACACTAGGACAATGGCCTCAGCAAATGCAGAAATGGGGAACCAGCACCATGAGCCTGGTGCCTGAGGCTGGGGCAAAGAGGGTACTGCGTGGTGGGAGAAAGGAAGGCGCACTGGCCTGGTGTAGAAAGCACAGCCTGCAGGAAGCAGGATGGCCTGCATGGGGCTCCGGCATGGCAATGGGGGGGGGGTGTTAAATCATCGTTCTGATAACTATTCTGAACCTAAAATCACAACCAGGACAGCAGAAGCCTGTACCATCCACTGCCCCGAGTAGGATGGCCATTTAGAGAACCCAAGTAAGGATATGGCCGGATTCCCCCACCAAGTTTGGACACCCATTCCTCTCCTGCTGTCTTTATTTGCTCTTTTCACCTAAAGAGCACTATTTACCCTGCTTAAGTAGAAAAGGGAAGAGAGAAGGAAAAAAAAGGAAGAAAGGCAGAGTAAAAAGAATAGTAACAAATGAAAAGGAAGAAAAGAGAAAATAAAGAGAACATAGAGTATTTTCCTCTTAAAAGGAGAGTCCTTACCTAGGAAAGCATACTGAAAAACAGAGAGTAGCTCTGAGACAACTGCAAGAGGGAAAGGAGAAGATAAGTGACCACAGAGAGATGGATGAAGCAGGGGAGGTGGCAAGGCGAGAAGACAGACTGGATCTGCTGTTTACCAGCTAAGCCACCTGGTAGGATGCATGCACTGCCTTTCCCTCCTGGGGAGGGCATCCCTGAAGCCACCTGTGCCCACCCTGTGTCCAGGACAGAAGGGCAGTAGCCTCGACTAAAGCTCATCAGACTCCTGTAGCCCCTCCTGAAACATGTCCCAGCCCCAAATCCCACCTCACTGCTAGTGGCCCACCATCTTTCTTCTCGTGCTCTTCTGTGACTGGGGGACAGGGGAGAGGAGCAAAGGAGTCATGTCTTTGTGGGCAGCCTCTGGACACCCTGGCAGAGGCATGAGCACATCCAGGCACAGTGGCTTCCAGCCACACTTTCTGGGATCTCTGGGAGGGGTCAGCACGATGAGGACACGTCCCTCTACGTGCTTATGCAGGCTTAAGTTGATCTCTGCGATGCAATGTAAGGAAATTTACCTTTAGCCCACTCACACTTCCAGTAAGGAGAATCTGGAGTCAGTAAGTTCCCCCCATAGTGTGTAAACGGCACTCACCAGGAGCCGATTCTCTGTGAGAACTAGCTCTGTGAGGTTCTCACAGTCCCCAAGAGCTTCAGGCAAGTGTGTGAGTCTGTTCTGATCCACCTTCAAGATAGACAGCTTCTTCAGTTTTCCTGCAAAGGCATTATTGAAGCTCATTAGATGCAACTGTTTTCCTAATCACCATTTGGTATTTCCTATCTGCTGTCCTTTTTTTTGCTGTAAATGATTGCTTATTTTCCCTCATCCAGCTTTTCCCATTATGCTACACCTCTTTCATTTAGAGTGCTAAAGGTTAAGAATTAAAATAATTTGCTCAGAACATCAAAATATCAGCAATTAGAAACAAATTTTATACAACATTACCTAAAAATACCGTATCAACGCCAGAAAATGTCAAGAACAAACAGCTGGCCCTTGATGTATCTTATGCGTGGGCGCTACTGATGTATGTTTAAAGGCCGGAGCTGTCGTACATATGGAAGGACCTTCATCTCTCACCAAGATTCATGCCAGGTGTAGTTTATAAATCACCTCTGGTGACGATGACTCAGTAAAGATCCTGCCGGGGGTATACTGCAGAACGAGGCTGAACAGCTGAGAAGCCTTAGAAAGGACTTGACTTACAGCTCGTGCCCATGGGCCACAAAAAGATGAGTCTGACTGTAGCCTCCCCAGCATTCCCATCAAGAGGAGGGAAACAAACTCACTGGGATTCTCGAGTTCAGCCACAAGTCAGGAACTGTACCTCTGCGGCCTCTGGGGCTCCTGATCACTGACTGAGAGCTGCAGGCAGGACACTTTCCCCATCAGAAAGTAGTCTCTGCACAAACAGACACGGGGCTGGACAATGGGATGCGATAAAAGGAGTATAAACTCTTTATTTAGCAGCATCAACAACTATGAAGACAGGCCCTGGAAGGACTCCACCCACCATCACTATGAGTAGACACAAGTCTGTGCTGGGTATACCTCACCTTCACAGAGGAGGCTCCTCATCAGGCAGTCCTGCGGCTGCCCTATGAACACTTCCTCCAGTGACAGGGTTCTCCTTCCTCCACTAAGTAGCCCACAGAAACCTGTCACCAACATCTTTGTTTTTGAAGGCTCTTTCTTAAATGAGGCTGAGATTCACAATCCTTTCATTTTTCCCATTTGAACTAGAAGATGTAATAAATCTACAGACAAACATATGAAGTCAGCCAGCTTATTTATACCTGGCTACTTCTTTCTCTTCCAAACATCAAAACATGGGAAGTTTCTACAGCTGCTTTCAGATGCCATACATGATTCTTAGTGAACATTTCTACACAGAGGCAAAATCCCTGTCAATTTTCCAACCAGCTTTGATGAAAACCCAACGGGACATCTGCATTCCTACCGCACTGTGATTAGCAGTTACCATTTTCATTCTGACCTGAATACAAGACAGGAAGCTGTCCCGGGTCACACAGCTTCTCCAGCTACTATGACTCTTTCACAAACCTCCTCTAATGAGTAAAAGTTAAAGGTACAATCCTATGACAACTCAATGGTTAAGTTTAGTTTCTTATAGTTCTAAGGGGTTGTGGTGTAGCAAAGCAATCTCTTCATATCTTGTTTGTGTTCAATTTCTCACACTGGACTGAGTTGCTTTATAGAAAAAGAAATGTATCAGCTGATTATTTTTAAAGAAAATTGCATGGAATGGTTAAGATAGTCCTCACTGTATTAGAAAAGACCTCAGTTACACCATTCCTCTTTTAGGAGTACCTTCCTTAGGTCATGCAATAAGGTGTAAGCTATTTTCTCATTAACTATTTAGGATGCTGAATTAGAAATGTCTTAGTGATCATTCATATTCTTTAAACACTTTCCATTATTTAGGCTAATCCCTATAAAAGTCACTGAGACAAGATGTGAATAAAGTACATACTTTATTGTATCAGTACTTAAAAGTGACAATATTTGTGATTGCTAACAAATCAGGATGTCAAACCACTTGTATAACGGGAAACCTGAACTGTATTAAATATTCTTTACTTTCCATCTTTAAAAACAAGGCACAAGCCAGGTATAATGGTGTACCTCCACTCTGGGAGGCAGAAGCAGGAGAACCGAAAGTTCAAGTTCCACCCAGGCAACCTAGCAAGACTCAGTCTCAAAATAAAAATGAGAAGGGCTGAGGATGTAGCTCAGTGTGAAGGCCCTGAGTTCAATCCCCAGAAGGAAAAAAAAACCTTCAATAACAACAAGGAGACTTTAAGAAGCCATATTCTCAAGACCTAAGAATAGTGACCAAAAGGCCAGAGAGAGCTCAAGGGCCCAAGACAAAAGCAGGCAGCCCTGTAGAAGTTTGTTCCTTCCAGTACTCACCGATGCCATCTGGAATTGTTTCCAGTAAGTTCTGGGAGATTACTAAATCTGTTAATGAAGTCAGGCCACTGATTTCTTCAGGAAGTCTTTCCAACCTATTTTCAGAGACATCTAAGCACAGCAAGTTCTTCAGATTTCCTATTTCCTACATCGGGGCACAGAAAGAGAAACTCAGGCTTACACTGGTCATAGGAACTTGCTACCACGCCTTTTCACAATTAAATCCCAAATTCCTAAAGGTTCCTAACATACACCCAAATGGGAAGGCAGAGTCAACTACCAGACCCCTTTCCAAAGAAAATGAGAAGCTACACAATCGCAGACTTAGAGCTGGAAGGGACACCACACCTGCCACCTCAAAACAGGCAAGGAACTGCTCTCACATGATACACAAGGAGACTACCACCAAGAGAGAACAAAGTGCAAAGTCACACACTCAAAGAAAAATAATAAGGAGACTAGAATCAAGTTCTCCATGTCAGAATTAATCACTAGTAAGCAGCTTACAGCTCTGGGTGGCCCTGGGATTTTCTCTGATTAGAAACTATCCACTTGTTAACAAACATCAAAGCAATTGCTCCCCAGCAAAACCAGAACATACAGATCCATCGATATCTTTTAACATCAAGAGAAAAGAGCACAGTGGTTTCACAAAAACAGTCCATTCGGGACTGGGAAAGCTCTTCAGTGAGTCTACCATTCCACCCAAGGTTTACCTTACCTCCCACTTCCAATAGCTACTTTCTCTCTCCTAAGTGCTAGCACTTTTCCTATTTCCCTGTATCAAATTCCTGATCTCACTGGCCTCTTCCCTTGACTGTTAGCTCTGCCTCTCAGAAGCCAGTTCTGGCTTTCCTTTCTACATCTGTTGTACAAACTGTGCTTCTTCCTTGCCTTCCTGGAAACACAGCTGGTCTGGTCATATAATCATACCACCCCTTTACCCAGGAAACAGCTAGGGTTCCCTGATGCCTGCAGAAGCAGCAATTCCTCAAGTGACATTTCATCCAGTCCCAGTCACTCTTTCAGATTTCCTGCCAAATTATATGCTCCATCACCCTGCCCCTGTATTCCCTGTCTTCAGAAAACCAGACTACATTTCTACTAATTTCTGGCTAGTCCTCTGAGATTGTCCCACTTTTCATCAAATTCCTTTTAACATTGTGTTTATATCCTTTTCTTCCCACCACCAATGAAGACGAGGAAATAATTCTGAATGAGACTTTACGTTATCTTTAGTCCTGGCTTAATAAAAATTTATACTATAGGGGTAAATGAGATTTTTAAATAATCATTACGTCAGTCCGTATGTATACTCTGTTCCTTGCAAGGCCTGTAGCTGATGTTTTCCTATTCTCCTGACAACTCCATGTTACTTCACCCCATCCTTTGTCTCTGAAGGAACCAGCCTTCTCTCAATCAGGAGTTCCCATGTATTTCCTACAGAAATATAAATAAGAGCCAAACTCTGCCCACAACAGTTGCTCATTCATTTCCCTTTCCCAAAGATCTCAGAGACAGACTAATTCATTTCTCAGTCCTGTTAGTCCCTAGTGACATCACAGTAACTTCAATGTGTAATATGACAACTGAAATTTTACTTCAGTGCTTCCTTGGATTTGAGCTGCATTCCCTGCCCAAAGCACATGGTCCCATCACGCCCGGAGCCACAGCCAAGCAGGGTAGCATTCGAGCTACTTTAAAATACAAGCACTGATATCATGAAATGTGTATTCTTGCTGTAAAGAACTGGCAACACACACCAAAGAATAAAGTTCAGTAACAGTTGGAGAACAGCAATGCCCATTGTGCTTTAGATTTTTTGGTGGCTCGGTCAGAAAGGGGCCTGCTTGCTGGGCCCCACTCAGGAGCTGGCTGACTGCTCAGGAGTCTGTCCCAGGTCTCACTGTGTTTGGAACATGGCTGTCATACTTGGCAACCATAGGAAAAGCATGAACACCATATTGGCCAACTATATTTGGAAGAAATATGAAGTAAAAGCTTTAGTATTGCTTTTACAACAAATACTACAAGGCAAACCACAGTCAAAATTATCCCAAAGCATTTAACACATCACAGAGAGTAGCAGAAATGTATGCTGCCTCAATTGCAGGTCCTGATTTGCAGGGTACTTTATAAATCTGCTGGGCTTGGAGTAAGTTATTTGAGCAGCAAGGATGAAATAAAATATGGGCTTCACAAACTAAAAGATATATTTACTACCTTTAGAAATGGTGGGTTGAAGTTTTCAATTTCCTTATAGCAATGCAGAATGACAAAAACTGAATACATTTTTCCAAATGTGCATTTTAATTAATGTTTTTGGCTTTTGACATCCTTCTTTTAAAAACTCCATGCAGAAGCAAGGAGTACACATGGTTTATTGTTGTTCTGTTTTGGGGGAGAGACTGTGAAACCTGTACTTACCTGAGGTAATTCTGATAGCTGATTTCCATCCAACCAGAGATCTTTTAGATGTAAGAGAGCTCCGATTGATTTAGGCTGAAATAAACATGCAAAAGTAACACTGTGGCAACCAAAATACAATTCTGTCTTCCAGAAGGAAAAAAGGAATCCTAAATCATCGTCATATAATAACTGGGTACCATATGGATACTTGTTATTTCTCTAAGATTAAGATCCTCCCCCTTTCCTAAAAGTGCCCTCAACTTTTCCCAAGAATGCCAGCTGCTTCCACTTACAATCTCTAGTCCTCACCCTCCCCACACCCAAATCATAATCCTGAACCTCCCAGAACAGAAGCCCATCCTCCAGTGTTCCCATGCTGGATCTTCAGCTGTACTGCCTTTATAAGCAAACCTGCAGAGCTCCCAAAATATGATGGGATCATAACTAAGGACAAAGATAAAGTCAAATCTCTGATACAGACTTACCAAATTATATATATCATTGTTTCCTAAATCAAGTTCTTCTAGTCTCTGCAGCTGGGTAAGAGAGCTATTTAAAAAAACAAAACAAATGCTTAGACATGCTGAGCAATGTAGTAGTCCTCACTTGGACTAGTTTTCAAAAGGAGGATTCATCTGGATCTATGGCAATAAATACTGCATGGGAAGGACTAGAATCTTCTAGGACACAGAATCTTCTGTTGGCATTAAAAAAATACTTAAAGACTCACTCAGGAAGATATGTAAGAAGGTTCTCTCTCAGTTCCAGTGATGCCAGGTTATAAAGACTAGAAACAAACAGAAGAAAAAAGTATAAGGGAAATTCCTGAGATTCTTCCTACTCCCCCTCCACCATACACACACTCAAAAGTAGCAACTCTTAATTAGTGAAAGCTTGTATGTCACTTCCCAGGGCAAAAATAACTACCACCGCCCCCACCCACCCACATCAAACCAACATGATCCTACCTCCCAGGTTCTAGTATTAAGATATTAATAAAAGCACTGTCATGACTGCAAGACACCCTCCTCAAATACCCTGCACATTTTCTAAGTGAAAATAACTCACTAGCCATTAAACAATAACCACTCCCTAGAGCAAGACAGAAGCTGAATATGAGCTTCTCGACTTTAGAATGCTGAAAATGTGTTGCTATAAAAACAGTCCCGCCTTTCACCTTGAGAGTTCGGAGCACTTGTTCCCAATGTCAGTGAGACACCAGCCCTGTTTTAAAGTAGCGGGCGTCTCACCCAAAGTGTCCAAGTGCTCTACTGAAGGCCTGAGAGTCCCAGAGCAAGCTGCAGCACTAAGGAAATAGCTAAGTGCGGCTGGGACACTACCAACACACTGTGCACTGCACCTGGAACCCAGGCCTTGGTGAATGCCAGCCTGATGATGTTGCTTTTACCCTTATTACGTTCTGGAATGGTGCTGTGTGCAGCAGATCCCCCTGCCTCTTGGGCACAGCCCAGTCTATTACAAGTACAATGAAATGAGACAGATGTTCTCCTAGACACTGATTATCTGGGTGAAATCCCAACAGGCAGACACACCACTGTGTCACCAGAGAAACCCCTGTACACCCGAGTTATGTCAGCACTGCACAATATACAGCTTCGGAGAAATGACTCCTCCATCACCTCCACACCCACCTCAGCTTCACACCAACTCAAACTCACGTTGGCTAATATCACCATAGCAACATCTAGATTTGGAGGAATTTTATTTCTGAGCACACAGAAGTAGTCAGATATTATCCCAACACTCTAATCTGCCTTAATCCTCTATTCTCCCTCCTTTCAGCAGAAAAGCTGGAGTCACGTGTACCAACAAAGCTGGTTTTATAACACTGGGAAATGTACATTTGATTTAAGTGAACAATCCATGTATAGGTTTAAAAATTGTTTGCCAGAAAACAATACTATGGAGTACACAAACTCTGCACCTCCTCTAATTTTGGAAAACTAAATAGTTTTCACCATTAAAGCCAGAGGAAACAAATAAAACTCTTTCACTATATATATTTTTAAATCCCTGCTGATAAGAATTATGAATTTAATACCAACACTTTTCAAATCAAATGGAAGTGACTAGGAGGTTGCAGCCAGAGAGGTATGCTTTTTCCCAACAAGCGTCTTTGTGGAAGAAACAAGAGGAGGAGCCAGAGAAGTGCATTAAGACCTCCTTCTAAGAGCAACCTGTGAGGATGATGATAAAAGAAAACGTCTTAGAACAAAGGGTTTTGTTACAATTTTAAATGTTCAAGTGATCCCTATGAGTTTTATGGGGAAGTGGTAAACTGTTGGATATTTTCATTGGGTAGTTTCACATTTGGATTTTTTAAATGGGGGTAGGAGTGTCATTTTTTATCTATTCAACTTTCATGACCTTAACACCTATTCTGACAAGCTAAGGACATCTGCTGATAAAAGGAGGCTCAAAAGTTTTACTTGTTGGGCATCCCACAAGTGTCTGAAAAGTGTTTCATGCAGCCTGCCACCTGTGTTGTAGCAAACCTCTGAGGCATCCTTGGTCTGATCATCTGCCCCCTGAGACCCAGGAGGGCACATGTCCCACCTCCTCGCACCTGACCAGCGACACCCAGCACTCAGAGGACACAATGAGGCCCTGAGTCCCCCGAGGAGGAGGAGGAGGAAGAAAGCCAGCTCAGATCTGGCTGCCACCTCAACTCCAACCCAGCCTGCACTGCCTGGGGCTGAGAGGGCTCTCCCTACCCTGGATCTCTCCAAGTTCAACTTTAAAAGCACCTTTGAGTACATAATGTCTGACTTCAACCACACCGAAGGACGCTGGGATTCTCACCATTTTATGTTATCTAGGAAATATGATACACATTTAAAAATTATCTTTGAATGTTGTCTTCAAGGTAAAAGGCACAACCATAGTTACTCTAAGGAACCCGAGCAAAGATTGTGCAAAAATGCCAACAGATTTGTGGTACAGTTCCTACCCTTATCATGCTAATACCCAAAAATAAGTAAAAAGGTTAATAAGTAAAAAGGTTCTGGTTACAAAACCTCTTAGTTTATTGTTTTTGGAGAGTGGAAAAATACATTCAACAACAAATGTGATTTATTTTATTTATTTATTTTTTAAACATTGTCTCACTCTGTTGCCCAGGTTGGCCTTGAACCCTTAGGCACAAGCAATCCTCCTGCCTTAGCCTCCCAAGTAGCTGAGACTACTGGCATATGAGACTACATTCAGCAGAAACAAAAAGTGTCATATTATTGTATTCTTAACAAAATTAAACACTAACTTAAGAAATCAAAACAGCCCTACTTCGTTAATATTTCCCTGCTATTTTAAACTACTTAAAATAAAGAAACTTGGACCATCAGGCTGTACACCATCAGGCTGTACAGACTCCTGACACAAGCCAGCATCTGATGAGCTCTATTTGCCTGGCTGTGGCAAAGCAGCCCTGCATACAGTGACGGCCCCTACAGTGCAGCTATCTGTTATGGCTCTTAGGGCTCAATATCCTTGCCCTTCAAGTCAGCAGAGGCCATTTTTAACCTCCCTCCCTTGAGACAGCCCTTATTCCTAGCTCATCGGGGACCTTGCAAGTCCGTGTGCTGGAAGAGTATTCCTACTCACAACAGTCGTCCCCACAGCAAAACCCTCTTCAGAAGCCAAGCCTGACAGAAGGTGTGCGGCTGGCTCTGCCCATCTCTGAAGCTCACCACGCACTGTTCAAACTTGGCAAGCCATACGAGAAGAACTAGTAAGCAATGCAACAGCTTCGACTGCAGACTGTCACCTGCTACATGACACCTCAGAGCATCGTCTGGACCTGTTGTCATTCCCAGGTTGTGGCACCACAGACAGATTCTGGGATGAAACTGGCTCTGGCTCTCATGGGCAGCTTGCCCTGGGCAGGCCTAGAGCAATGTGCAGGACCCCAGCTGCCCACCTGAGAGCGAGATTCTCCAGACTGCTATAGTGCCAGCTGACATGACAAGGATCTGTGTAACTGCATAGTGGGACAGGGACATTAACGTGAAAATAGATAGCCATTTTCCTGTCTTTCAGAATATGGTATCTTCCATCAAGACTTCGGGACACTGTCTGTCTCCATCAAGGTAACCTATTCAATCCAATCGAAACATGTGCACCCCTTACAGCGCTAACAAAGAATGGGCACTAAGGAGTGTCAGGGAGGCAGGATTTTAACCTAATTCTGGGCATTTCGGAGCCCAAGTTCTTTATCACTAGGTGCTGGAACAACGAGACCTAAACTCCACATGTATTTATCTGCTACTCCACTTAATACTTTTACAAACATGATAAAAATAAACTAAGATACTGAAGATGCAATGTGAAAATCACTAGTTTTTAACAGCCCTATTACTAGTAATGATAATGGCAATTTACTATATGACAAGTATTGCTAGAATTGATTTATAAGAATTAACTTTATGGATGAGAAAAGTAAAGCACATATAGGAACTTGAACAAGGTGTCTCACAACTGGTTCAGTAGAAAAGCCAGGACTTACTGGGGGATCCGCACTTTCAACCACTGTGTCCTGCTTCTAATTTTTGAGCTGGTAAGTCAACTTTATGAACTGGTAATACATACATATCTGTATCTGCATCTATCCACTGAATTTCAATAAAACTTTTCCTTCTACTTTGTACCCACCAATCTAGCTTCCCACCACCAAGACTTTTTAAATAATATCTTATGTATTCATCTAGAATTTTCTTTTATGCAGACAAGCAGATATGGACATTTATCATTTTTTCACTATAAACATGACATCAAATAACAGATTTTTATTTCATTTCTTATCTGATACATGCCAGTATTTTTTTACAGTTGTACAGTATCTCATTTCACACCTTAATTTTTTTAACCAGTCCCCTGTGAGCAGACAGTTCACCCCTTAATTTCAATGTCTGACAAATGCATTCTTGCTAGAATGACCTCATCCTCCCCTAACAAAAAGTATGGCTGGCCGCCCTCCCTGCGGCCCCCAGCACCTCTGCAGGGGGAGGTGGCACCTGGAAAGCCCATTTGGGTAAAAGGGCATGAAGTGTGCCTCAGTCTGAGCTCCCTCAGCATTTTGCTGGGTCTTCAATGGCAGGGATGAAAGATACACTCTCCAAACCAGAATGTGGCCAACTGTATTTTCAGCAATCTATTTCAGGGACTGGATGTTCTCTACTATGTTTTAAAACCTCTTTTAAATTCACTTCGATCTTCTCCCCTCCTCATTTTGGTGACTAAAATCATTAAAAAAATGAAGAGTAAACTAAATTAAGATAGATCAGGCAAAAAGCAGTTCACAGCAAGATCACTAAAATACAAAGTCTACAAACATTTATGGCAACAAGAGTTGGTCAGGGAAAAGAAGAGCTGTGTATACATTCATGGCACTTCTCTTGTTCTTTTAACACCAAATCGGTATTTAAGAAATCTCTGGCTACTGATTTCCTTACGGTAGCTTTGCTCTGGAAAACTTGTTTTTAATTTTGTGCTTTTGTTTCTGAAACAAATATTTTATAGTGATTCCCAGGCCTCAAAAAAAAAAGAGAGCATCGGATTTAGGCAGTTTCAAAAAGATTTTCTCCTCTTGGCACTCCAACACAACACGAGAGACCAGCCGGACACTAGGCCTGGGGGTCACTTGATTGAAGCCCACACAAATTAAGTCACTGTTCCCAAGGGCAACAGACACAAAATCAGATCCACTCATTCCAGTTCAATCTGCCAGAGAAGCGGAGGCTACTTGCTTGCTCTCTTGCTAGCAGCACACTG